AGATAGATAGATAGATAGATAGATAGATAGATAGATAGATAGATAGAATTCTTTTATTGGCCAAGTGTGATTGGGCACACAAGGAATTTGTCTTGGTGCAAATGCTCTCAGTGTACATAAAAGAAAAGATACATTGGTCAAGAGTCAAGAATCATCAGGCCCAACACTTAATAGTTGTCATAGGGTACAATAAGCAATCAGATCATACTAGGAAACAGTCCATATAAGAGTAGAGTAGAGTAGAGTAGAGTAGAGTAGAGTAGAGTAGAGTAGCATAAACAGAGTTGGGAGGGACCTTGAAGGTCTTCTAGTCCAGCCCCCTGCTTAGGCAGGAAACCCTACACCCTTTCAGACCAACGGTTGTCCAGTGTCTTATTAAAAACTTCCAGTGTTGGAGCACTTACAACTTCTGGAGGCTGTTGCCCTGATTAATTGTTCTCACTCTCAGGAAATTCCTCCTTAGTTCCAGGTTGCTTCTTCTCTCCTTGATGAGTGTCCCCCCCCCCCGCCCCCGTTGCTTCCTTGTCCTGCCTTCAGGTGCTTTGGAACAGCGGTCGCCAACCAGTGGGCCTTGAGAAAATTTTGGTGGGCCACAGAGAAATCTCACCCCCCAAGCATCCCTCCAAAGCAATTAATCCAGGCTGTGCAGAAACACAAGGCTGCGCTGCCCACATGGCCCGCGGGAACCCTCCCTGCCCACTCACTCCTTTTCGGTAAACTTTCCTGCTAAATTTCTATTTTTTCTTTATCCAACCATCTCATCTGTTCTGCTGTGCCAGGAGATTTAGATTAGCTAGGAAGCAGAAAATAGTTGGATTTCTTGGTTTCTTTAGATCTTCGGCTCTGCTTTTAAGCACAGCTGAACATCCCTTAGGACTGAAGGTTTGCTTGCAAGCAAATTCAGTGCAGACTCACGGCAAACAAATTTGAGAGAATGAGGTAGCTGATAGCAGATAGATAGATCACTGAATGATTCTGTGAGCAACTCAATCTGCCTGCTTTGCCTGATTTTGGGTAAAAGTTGCTCTTTTTTAATAAAAAATTCAATATTTTACATACATGGTGTGTTGTGAGTTAATTTTATGAGTTTGCTTGCAAGCAAATTTTATGGGACAGACTGAGTTAGCCAATGGCAGATAGATAGATCTCTCAATGAATCTGTGAGCAACTCAATTGCCTGCCTGCTTTGCCTGATTTTGGGTAAAAGTTGCTCTTTTTTAATAAAAAAAATCAATATTTATATAAATATTTATAATATTTACATACAAGCCATGCCCAGCCAGTCACATGAACACCAAGCCACACCCACAAATTAGGCCACGCCCACAGAACTAGTTAGTGGTTCCTGGGATCTAAAATTATGAGTTTGGTGGTCCCTGAGGTGCAAAAAGTTGGCGACCCTTGCTTTGGAGAATAGCTTGACCTTCTTTGTTGCAGCCCCTGAGATATCAGAAGGCTGCTATCATGTCTCCACTAGTCCTTCTTTTCGTCAGACTAGACCTACCCAATTTCAGCAACCGTTCTTTATATGTGTTAGCCTCTTCTGTGAAGTGAACAGTTAGGATGAGGAAACTGGTACAGAGGAAGACGTTCAATTCTGTCTTGGTTCTTTCCTCGATATTTGTAAGGCACCCAAAACTTCTGTAGTTCTTACTGTATCCTGGTTACAGTAAGGATTCTTGCTTCCTAAGGCAGCTTCATTTGTCCTGCAAAGGAAATGGGAAATTCGATTACGGCTCCCACTGGATGATCTAATTAGACCTTTAGTATTAACAGAAAATGTAATTGGCAGATAGGCCAAGGTTCACAGTTATGTTAGTTGGCTGCATGTTCATGTATCCCAGCTCATAAGATAATTTTCAGGGGCAGAATTGCCCACGATATTTTCTGCAATGAGGATAGTGAAACCAGATCCCCTACATAGAAATTACATGTGCTAATATACATGTCCAGATGCGAAATGATATGATTTACATACAAATATAAGATAATATAATGAGCGAGCTGATAAAAGCTCAGCTCCAGGGATTATAGACTTTTGATCTTCTTTATTTTGGGGAGTAAAGCCAAGGTTTGGCTTTTTATATAAAACATTGGGGAAATTTATGGATTTTTTTTTGGATATACCAATGTGTGTATGCATGCACATAAGTATATGTGTGTATTGTGTACACACACACACAGAGAGAGAGAGAGAGTAGAAAGCAAGAGAACAAGAGTCCTGCCCTCGCTGTAAAAGCCAGCTGGGTGATTTTGGGCAGTCACTCTCTCTCTCTCTCTCTGTCAACCAACTTACCTCACAGGATTGTTGTGGTAGGAAAAATAGGAGGAGGAAGGTGTGTTGGATGACTGAAATCCAGGGAATAAAGTCAATATTTTAAATGAATGCCAAGAAAAGAATCACCCCATGGATTTTGAAGCAATTCGGTGAGCATTGGATCAGTCACACTTTTTGGCAGATGTAATGAGCCCTGGAGAATTTTCTGACAAAAGAAAATTTCCCTTAAGTTTCCCAATGGTGAACTTATCAGGAATGTGCATTAAAGTTTCAGCTTTATTTTTACAAGAACTTCCTGGCCAAAATTCAAATTCATGCTAACAACATAAATACAGTTAAAATGCAAACTTAAAAACATTTATGATACTTTTATTGAAAATATAATATAAAATTGTTACTGGCACTGAAAGACAAATGCCATAATACCTGCTCGGACCTTATTTAATAGTTTTATGATTATTTTTTAAATTAAACCACCCATTAGCTGGAACTTTCTGGTTGGTGCTGAAACACCCACCCATTTGAATGGAGCCATATAGGTCAATCCCTTGTTTTTTTAAGAGAGGATTTTGATGACTGCCTTGTTGCTGGTCATCGGTTCACACAGAAACCCCGATAAGACTTTTCACAAACCCCAAAGAGCACCAGGGGATGGGACAGGCTTCCGTTATAATCAGCTGACCGGATGGTCACCAGGGTCAGGGCTGAGGGCCTTCTCTCTACTGGCACCCTCTCAACCGGGTGGGTTGTGTGGGTCAAACTGGGTTTCTTCAAGGTCTGGATTAGCATTGTAGTTCTCCTCTGTGGGGCAGTGGAGGGGCAGCACTCTGCTGGCGGTTTTTCGGCCATTTTTCAGCCCATTTTTGGTTGGCAAAGTGCTGCAGGAGACCATGGAGGGTGAAAACGAAGCACAGGCGACCCTGGCATGCAGCCCATTTTAGCCACCAGAGGCACCATGGGCCAGTCCTTTGATATTTCCAGGCCAGCCCTGAAGGCCGGATTTAAGCACCCCAGAGGCCGGATCTGGCCCACGGGTGGCCTTGAGTTTGACACCCCTGCTCTAAATAATCCAATATACACTACTACAACATTATTATTATTATTATTATTATTATTATTATTATTATTATTATTACCGTGCTTCTCATATAAAAAGGCCGTCTTTTTGGGGGGTGACTTAATTACCCACCTTGCATCTTCGGGCAGGCGGGTGGCGACGGCTTGGATGTTGACCTCGGCGTTGGTGGAGCACTTCGTATCGGGGACAATGCATGCAGCACCATATCCGGATGTGCAATAAAAGTACTTCCTAACAGAAAGCCCCCACCACCACTCCCCCCCCCATTTCGCATGTTTTAATATAGGCCTTAATTTGGGGGGAGGGGCTTAATTTCATTTCATGCCTGTAAAACATGCTGGGACTTCCTATTGGGGGAGGCCATATTGTTGGAGAAACAGGGTATTATTATTTTGGGAGGGGAAGCAGAATAGAAAAATGTCACAAGCCAGGAAGACCTGGCAGTGCAGGGGGAAGAGTTTATTTTTTGGCCTCCTGCTAATTGCACGAGCCCATTAAGTCTTAGAAAGCACTAAGAACCCCGGAGGCATCTCTCCCGGGCTAGCGAAACATTTTCCCAAACTTCAAGAGCCTAATTAACCAGACTTCTTGCTGGTGAAACTTCCTGCCATTCATCAGGAAGCTAAATTAAAATTCAACCTCAGAATTAGGGGACGGAGGGAAGGCTCAGCTGCCTCGTAGAGAAAGGCTGGAGTGGACTCACACCGGCAGATAAAAGTTCCCGCAACTGTGAAGTTCTCCAAAGAAGGGAAACATCGTGTCTGCCTCTCCCAAAAGAGCAAAACCTGTATGCTCACGTCCCCAAAAAATAAAGAGAAAATGCCATATTTAGCCATTCATTTATCTGTACTGTGTCAGCTACTTTGCCTTCTAATCCAGTTTCTTGCCCAGTTGTTAGAGGAACCGAAATCTGTAATAGCTTGAGTAAAAAATAAGAGTCCTTACATTAATGGAAGGCTGAGGATAGAAAGTCAAGTTAACTCCTGTCAATGTCTAAACTTAAAAGGTCTATTTCAGGGTGAGACCCTCAAGGTGCCTGCTTTTTCTTCTTTTTTAATCTGCTTTGTTTGGTTTTTGTCTTTGTTCCACGGACCTGTTTTTAAAATTATTTGACCAGGCAGAAAAATAAATAAATAAGCGGGTACATAAAGCATAGTTCTCTGTAATGTCTGAGCCATGAATGACAGACTTACAGATTTTCTTCTTTCCAGGTCAGAGAGGAAGCAACGAAGGTTTTCTGAGAGTCACACAACTCTCCGGTGAAGACACGTTTTGTGGTGTCTTTAACTTAGACAAAGCCAATGAATGGGCTAGAGGCTTAAAGGAGCTGGCCCAGGATGGGGGGAAAAACGAGACTCCACCATTGTTTTTGTCACACAGTCAGCCAGATGCCCAGACCGGATTGGGCCTCTTTGTCCACCTAGGGAGCCCTTCCCAAGGACCCGGGATAGGCAGCAGACGCGGTTGTGTGATGGCGCTAGAGGTATCACCGCAGCATGGAAGCTGTTCTGAGTCCAGCTGCCTCTTGCCACGGACTGGCCCAGGTGAATTGGTCAGTGCCGGTGTCCCAGTGGTGCTCCAGATGGTAATGGGGTGGCGCGCCCAAGGCCCCCATGACTCTGGGCCCTGCCTTTGCTTTCTTTGGCTGCAGCTGGTCTCTGTCATCCTTGTTGTTCTTATTCCTCTCATGACTAAACCTTGTGAGGCCCTTCACGTACTGTGGAGGTCAACAGCTTCAGGAACGAACCCTGTTTGCTGCCCGCTCTACTTTTTCTGCAGCTGTGTTAAAAGGAGACGGGCATCAAGTCGTCCTCCAGCAAATCCCCGATTGGAACGACGTGCAGCTGATTGTGAATGGGGAGACCGTCTTCCAGTGCAACATCTATGACTTAGATTTCGGTAAGTGCCCCTGGCAACCGACGTGGGCCCGGGGGGGGGGGTCTCCCAGATCGGCTCCTTAGGCTCAGGGCTGAGAAAGGCAGCAAATCAAGATCCATGGGTGTGCCGTGAATTCCCATCCCCCCACCCCTTGCTCTCTTTCTCTCAGGAGGAGATGGAAAGTTGGACCCTCTTTGCCAAGAAGCTCGAGAGGCCGTCTTAAAAGCCTACTGAAGAAGCCTTCTTCTTGTGCTTTGCTCTTTCAAACGCTCGTTTCTCACAAAGGAAGCCCAACCCCCCCCCTCCCCCACAAAAGGCTCCTATTGTACCTTGTTGCCAAAACAGCACGGTCTCCAATTCACTAATCACTTCTCTGCTTCGTATCTAATTATTTGAAGCCTTTTTGTCCTTACGCTTTTCTAGGCTCATCTTGATCTTTTCAAGTGTTCCTCCCCTTCTTGAACCATCACCGTGTGTACACCTATTAACTTCCGTGTAGTTATGTTGGAATAAAAAAATAAAACTAAGTTTGTTCAAAAGATATTCTCGGTCTAGCAATCCTCCCAGGATTAAACCGCAGAGGCTCAGATCAAATCAAACTATAGATGTGGAATAATAACAATAATGGAGATCAATATTTTGGGAAGAAGCATGCTAGGATCAATCCATAAAGATGAAGCTGTCATCAAACCACAAATAAGCCAGGCCTCACATGTTATTATTTACTTGTCATGCCTCGGATACTTCTGTTTTGAAAGCAGGAGGGTGTGACCCACAAACAGCAGCAGCAGAAAGCCGTGCTTTCAAATGTTTCTCTCTATGTTAATTTTGCTCCCTTCCTGGCTACAAGAGCATTTATTACTGAAAGGAAGACAGAAAATGTTCCGAGATCCACTGAGATGATCTTTCTTGTGAAATATATGGACTCGCTGTTATTCACGCTGCATTTGGTCCTTCCCTTTGAGATTCCCTTCTGAAAGAAAAACTCTATCATTGTTTTGCCACGTCTCGGCTTTCTATGTGGCTGGGAAGAGTCAACACCAACTTGATGCCACAGAGTCAAATACTGACAGAATATTTCTGACACATCCTATTTTATTATTCTTAGGATTACCACCGCGGTTACATTTTACAATATGTAGGGCAGCATAATGTTGGGCAGCTTTCTTGGCCCTTTTTTTTTTTACCAAAAATTCCAAGCTAGGTTGCAAAATAGTCCGTCAGACTTACTTCACAACCGTATTTTTAATATATCTGTCTCACCTCTGCATCTTTTTTGGTTGCAACCTTTGCTGATTTTGTTGATTCCGATGATGACACACACACAGTAAGTGCACAGTTTTCTCTCAGCACAACCCTGAGGAGTAATCTAGGTACCTAAACAGAATTTTGGCTACATCTATATAGTGTTAATACATACGGGAAGTTAACTAAGAAGGAGAGATCACAGGAAAAGTTGGCCACTATCAGTCCAGTCTTAAAGCACAAAACATGGCTGCTACTTGGCTGCTCCCTTTGCTGAGAGGTAGCTGTGCTGTAACTCTTAAAGCCAAATGAACAGAATCAGAAGTTACTTCTAACACTCACAGCCAAGTACAACTAGTCTGATAATCTTTTGAAGGAGCTGACTACTTCCCTAAATCCTAAAAAAAACCCTAAATCCTCACTAGCTTTCGCTCCCTTTTTATGATGACTGGCTTTCCTTCCATAAAGCACTCCAGGTAATGGGAGCGAGGGAGCCCAGGACGAGGGTCAAAAGGTCTTCCCTTCGAAGGCCTCCAGGTTGAAGGCTGTATCCAAAAATCTTCGGAGCGAGACGAGATGGGTGTTTTTGTTACCGGTGGCCGGAGCAGCAGCTGGTTCACGCCCAACATACCTTAAGAGGCAAGAGGAAATAAATGAGAGGTTTCTCTGAAGTAGGTGTGGATGTAATACCGTATTTCCCCATGTATAAGCACCCCCTTTGTATAAGCCACCCCCCCAATTTTTGGACTGTGAAGTTTTGAAAAAAATATTTTATTAGAGAAACAAGTTATGAAGAAAGAAAATTTACAAAGAAACAAAATTCGACGTCTAGATCTACAACTTCGGTCATGACGCCGAAAGCGGTGCGGGCGACACTAGCAATCTACGCATCGGAACGAGAGTAGGAACAAAGCATTCAGGCCGATGCCTAGCGTATGCATTTCTATCGCGTACTCGCACTCGTAATCGTATCATCACGTACAATTTTTACAAAAAAGTATAGCATACTGCTGGAAAACCAGTTTATTCCTACTTTATTATTTTATGCATGTTTCACGTATAAAAAGTGTACCTGCTTTGTATATGCCACCCCCCTACTTTTTGGGCTTGAAAATTTTGGAAAAAAGGGGTGGCTTATACATGGGGAAATACGGTAATATTTGCTAGCGCTATAATTTCCAGGGAGGCTGATTATACAGGCCATGACTAGCAACACTGAATAGCCATCTGCTACAGCATCCAGATCTTACATGGGCAGCCGGGAGTTAGGCCAACATTTACCCAACTCTATGAGCAAAGTCTTCCCTCAATTTTCCAAAAACTTTTCAGATCTCTACTGTAGATTGGCGCTCCAGGCAGATGCCCCCCCATGTGGTCTACTTTAGACTCCACGGGGGTCCGTCCACCGATCCAGCTGAGAAGAAATGCAACTTACTGACTGAACGTGCTCCGTGCCCTGCCAGTGCCAGGCGGAGTACCTGGTGCTAAGTGATTTTCACGGATATCCAATGCAAGCATTGTTACCATATCGGTCGAGTGTGGTTGACGATGGTCCGGAACCGAGGTTTGACATAGTCATAGTAGCCTATGTTCTTGTGCTCTTCTTGACACCAAACAAGTTCGGCTTTAGCATACTTCTTAATTTCCTCTTTTAGCAGGTCAAAAGGAAACGGTGAGATCTAGAGGAATGAAAGCATTAAAGAACCCTCTGAAATATAAAGGGGTCACATTCTGCAGTGCACATCTTATTCCCCAAATGCTTCACTTCAATGCTTCAATGTCTCCCACGCACCCCAGGAGCGAGGCTTAAAGGTTTTATTCTATCTATGGATAAAGTCAAAACAAAACAAACGGTCTGCATTTCTTGCAGAGATGTGAGGATTATATCCTTCCAAATTTAAGATATATCTTAAATATCACTATTATGAAATTACATCACCAAAATTAAACCACTTGGGGTCTCAGTATTCTTAGAGGAAGATAGCTGGTTTTATTTGTTTTCAATACCAATGCTCCCTAGTGGAATGAAATTTGAATGGCTCACCTGATAAATATCAAAATAATAATAATAATAACAACAACAACAGTATATAGTTCTTGGTTCATAAACTATGCATCCATTTGCTGGAAGAATTTCAACTATTATCTTTAAGCCAAGGAGGATTCTCAGGCATATCAATTCCAAAGCCCATCTCAATTACTTTTTTTAAAAAAAAATCTATAGCATGCAATAGTTTCAGGAAAATATGAGAATATCCAGACCCTTTACTGTGCCGTGCATTACTGGCTAATATCATGAAACCAAAATTCATTCAAATGTCCATTGGAGACACCAGGGCTTTTAACTTGCAAATGAAAGAAATGGAGTGAAAGATCACAATGACAAGTAGAGTCACAATAATGATGCAAATGATCAATAATATTATTAAAACTTGATGGAGAAAAGATGGCTTTGTAATTTACATGATAAACTAGATGCCATCAGGTAGTATTTTAACCTTGGCACCCACTGTCACAATCAGAACAGCTTTTATTTCAGTACAGAATAGTGCATTGCAATAAAAGCTGTTCTGCTTGTGACAAAGGGTGCCAAGGTTAAAATACTACCCGATGGCATCTAACATATGGAATACTACTATTCTTTTTTTCTGATATTTTTCCTGGAAAAAAAATCAAATTAAGGAGAATATTTGTAGCTCAGGGTTGAAATGAGGGCTCCGTGGTGCTCTCTGAACTTGGTTGTTTTCTTGCAGACGTTTCATGACCCAGCTAGGTAACATCATCAGTGCTAGAAGAGAGAGAAGAGAAGGACAAGAAGAACTGTGGGATCCTTGGTGCTCTCTGAACTTGGTTGTTTTCTTGAAGACATTTCATGATCCAAACTAGGTAGCCTTGATGATGTTACCTACAAGAAAACAACCAAGCTCAGAGAGCACCAAAGGCTCATAAAAAACAAACAAACCCCAGTTTGGAGACTGACTAATCAAGGAATCAAAGTTTGACTCAAAATACCCCATAGATGAAAAATTGTTTCTAAAAGAAATGATCCAGAGCTCCTACGGCACGAGTTTTACCTGCTCCAATCTGATTATAGCCACTGCTTTTTCCAGATCTTGATTTTTCCTTTCTTTAACAAGATCGTAATATACCTTCCCAGTACAGAAAATCACCCGATTCACATCCTCGGGAGATTCAGCAGCAATTCCTTCCTCCGCAATCACACGCTTAAACTTGGTGCCTAGGAAGAACACACAACGTCGGACGATAAAACCCAAAGGTGAAACATTAATGTGATTAGCAGGATAAGAGGAACAGCGGCATTCCTTATCCTTCTGATTCCCACATTCTGATACGAATTTCTGCAGAGATGTTCCAGGGAATGTGGACCATGGAGGAAGCTGCATCCTTCCCAGAGGACCAGGCCAGGAGGGGGATGAAGTTACATCCTGCTGCTCCGGATGCCCAGGAATCCCTTTCTACAAGATCGCGGCCCATTTGTGTAATGTATTTTTAAAAAAAAAAAAAAGTTTTATTGATTTTAACAACAAACAAAACCACATAAAACATACAACATAAAACATAAAAACATCCTCCTCCTTCATAGATTTACAAGCAGTGTATCGGTTGGTTTACCACTTTTTTTCGTGCATCCGTTTCCTAGACGCCATTATAGTTATATTACATAATAACTCATATTATCAATCAACAATTGTATAACCTGGTATCATTACTGAGAAATCATTTAACTATAATTTTGTTAATTCATACTTTAACGAGATAACTATAATTTACTTAATTTATTTTACAACAAATCATAAGATCATACCAAATCTATCTTAGTAAAGTTTTATAAAAATAATATCAAAGAAAAAGAAAATATATATTCATTATGTCCTAAGTCATCCATTTGTGTAATGTATTGTGCCTTCCTGACCGGCATTTTTAATGGCTAGGGGATTCTGAGAGTTGAATGCCACACATCTTAAATTTCCCAGCTGCAAGTATGTGTGTAAGATTAAACATACATGTAAGCTTGCTTATATGTATGTTCATTTAATCTTACACTCATCCATGAGATGCCTTCTATTTTTCATGGTCCAAAAGCCAACGTAAGACGGAATGGGGAATTTTGAGAGTTGAAGTCCACACATTTCAAACTTTGCTCTGTAT